AACCCCTGGAAGGAAAAAAATCCCAAAAGAAAATCACCAAGACATATCATAACCAAATTCTGCAAAATCAAAGACAAGGACAGAATCCTGAAAACAGCCAGGGAAAAAAAGAATTGTTCCATACAAAGACAAGCAAGTAAGATTAAGCTTAGATTTCCCAGCAGATATCATGCAGGCAAGAAGGCAATGGGGAGACATATATAAAACACTGAAAGAAAAGAACTGCCACTAAAGAATCCTTTATCAAGCAAAGCTGTCTATTAAATATGATGCTTAAATCAAAACATTTCAGGATAAACAAAAGCTAAGGGATTTTGCCAAAGTTAATCCTGTACTACAAAACATCCTAAAGGGAGTGCTGCAAACTGAGCACCAACAAGAACAGAAAAAAACAGAGATTGATATATGTGGCGGAAACAGAACTCAATCGACAAATGGAAAAGTAGAAAACAGAACAAAACTATATAAACAAATTCAGAGGATCTGGGAGGTCAGTCTGTGATCAAAACTATTACAATGTGAAAGAATGTAAACATGTAGGAACAAAGATCTAGGTGATGTGAAGGTCAGGTATATTACAGGATAAAATAGACTGCATTAAATTGAGGAAAAAGTTAATGGAATATAAGGTAATCTCAGTGAAAATGAACACTTCACAACAAACCAAGAAAATGAAAATCCAAGAAGAACATAGAAACATTAAAAAAATGAGGAAAATGACAAGAAAGAACAACAACAACAAAAATACATGAACTGAGCACAGGAAGACATACAGAACCAAAAATACCAGCAGCACCACAAAAGCAAACAAACATAATGGAAGCAATTAATCCATACTTATCTATAATTACACTGAATGTTAATGGAGTAAATGCACCAGGAAAGATACAGAGAGAGGCGGAATGGCTAAGAATACAAGATCCTTCAATACACTGTCTACAAGACAACCTTAGGCACAGAGACAAAAACAGATTATGAGTTAAAGGATGGGAAAAAAAGTATATCAAGCTAATTACATTTAAAAAAACAAATAAGTGTGGCAATACTAATCTCTGATAAAATAAACTTTAAGGCAAAACCCAGCATAACAGATAAAGACAGACATTATCTCATGATTAAAGGGACAATTGAGCAAGATCAGATGACCATAATAAATATCTATACTTCCAAAGAAAGAGTTTCAAACTACATAAAGTAAACTCTAATCAAGTTAAAGAAAGCAATAGACAAATGTACA